ACATATGCTTGCAACAACCAGGAAGCCTGCATGAGACCAACCTAGGCACTATGTATATGTATTACAGTTGTGTAGCTTGGTCCTCTTATGGGACTCCTAACAGCAGCAACAGGGGCTGTCTCTGACTCTTTTACTAGCTTTATGGGACCCTATTCATCACACTGGGTCACCTTGCCCAGTCTTAATACAAGGGGAGGTGCTTAGTCTTACTGAAACTTGATATGACATGTTTTGTTGCTATACATGGGAGGCCTGCCCTTTTCTAAATAGAAATGGAGGAAGAGTGGATAAGAGGGACTAGAAGGAGAAGAGGGAGGGAAAACTGCAGTTGGGATGTAAAAACTAATCTATGTACTTCTACATGGTCTTGGCTTACCGGAGAATATCTGAATATCTGAACCTGTTACTCCTTTTGGCAGCTACATGGTGGTCCCTCTCTACCTATCTTGTCTCCTAGCCACGCCTATCTTCCTGCCTCTACTGGCTATTGGCCAAAAGTGTTTTATCATTCATCAACCAGTAAGAGAGACATTTATACAGAAGGAATTCCCTATCATGTGATTATACTTTAATTTCAAAAACCAAAAACCTAGAAGGACTTTTTTTTAATTAGTAATCTTAGGCCAAATTGGTGCACACCTTTAACTCCAGTAATTAGAAGGCAGAGGCAGATTGATCTCTCTTTGTTTGAGGTCAATATAGATAGACTTTTCTTTCCAGCCCAAATAACTGACATGGAGACTTAATATTAATTGTAAATGCTCAGCCAATAGCTCAGGCTTGTTACTAGATAACTCTTACATTTAAATTAACCCATATTTCTTGCTCTGTAGACCAGGCTGGCCTCGAACTCACAGAGATTTGCCTGCCTCTGCCTCCCGAGTGCTGGGTTTAAAGGCGTGTGCCACCACCGGCTTAACCCATATTTCTTATCTACATCCTGCCTCCTCTGCATCTGCCGGCATCTCCAGATACTGTGCCCTTCTTCATCCTTTGTTTGGCTGTGCTGGATATACTTCCTGCCTGGCTACCAGCCAGACAGCTTTTTTTTTTTTTTTTAAAAGATTTTATTTATTTATTATGTATACAACATTCTGCTTCCATATATATCTGCACACCAGAAGAGGGCACCAGATCTCATTACAGATGGTTGTGAGCCACCATGTGGTTGCTGGGAATTGAACTCAGGACTTCAGGAAGAGCAGTCGGTGCTCTTAATCTCTGAGCCATCTCTCCAGCCCCCGCCAGTCAGCTTTTTATTAAGCCGGTTACAGTGACAAATCTATACAGTGTACAAGAGGGTTATTCTGCAGAAGGTCAGCCTGGTCTACATAGTGAGTTCTATGGCATTAAAGTCATGTGCCACCGTGTCAGGCCCAAGACTATACATTCTTACTTGTTGCGTTTGGGGATCATTGTAAAAAGCATCATTCAGATACTACTCCTCACCCCTCACAGCTTCCTTGTCTCTGTTTCTTTTCCCTGGAAGCACTTCCTGCTTTTGTGGAATGGGTTGTGAAGCCCTGCTCCTGCTGTACCCTTGAAAACTGCTGTTCTGCCCTCCTCACCTAGTGGAACCACTTCGGTCTTTAGGTGGTTGCTGTAGTTTGAGTGTCCTCCACCCAAACATAAGATTCAGCGCCAGTGTGTGTGTGTGTGTGTGTGTGTGTGTGTATGGTTTTTGAATTAGTATGAGCCAAGACCTTAATCACAGCACTAGGGAAGAAATAGAAGCAGGCAGATCTTTGTAACTTCAAGGCCAGCCTACAGAGTGAATTCCAGTACAGCAGGAATAAAGAAACCCTGTCTAAATAAAACAAACAAAAACGAAGCAGGAGTCAGGCATGGTGGCTACACTTAGTCCCAGCACTTGGGAGGCTGATTAAATTCAAGGCCAACCTAGGCTACATGTTAAAAACCCTGTTCAAGCTGAGAGCACATTCCTCCACGTGGGATGGGCTCCTAAAGTCCTTTTGTATGCCAGGGATAAATACTGGTCTACTACCAGGGCCCCATAGGGTGCAGAGGCCTCCTCACTGACACCCACATTCAGGGGTCAGGATAAGTCCCATGCTGGCCTGGGAGGGCCTAGGTCCTATCCTCCTTGGGGAGCAGAGTGGGGATGGGATGGGGGCTGGTGGGGGGCAGGGGAGGAGGGAGGGAGAGGGATCAGGGATTGACATGTGAAGCAGGCTTGTTTCTAATTTGAACTAATAAAAAAAATACCTCAATTTGAATAAAATAATATTCCCTTAAAAAAAAAAAAAAAAACCCAAACCCTGTTCAAACAAAACAAAATCTCCCATGCTCCAAAAAGTGGGCCAGGAGAGTGTCCACCCTATTAGCAATAATAACTATATTATCATAGGAGTGGGTTAGTTATGAGCTATTTATATATATGGGTGTTTTGCCTGCTTGTATTTGTGCAGCATGTGTGTGCCTGGTCTCTTCAAAGGCCAGAAGATTGTGTCTGATACCTGGAACTGGAGTTAAAAGACAGTTGTGAGCCACCATATGGGTGCTCTCTTCGAAAACAATAGGTATTCTTAACTTCTGAGTCATTTCTCCAGCCCTAGTGAGCCCTTGATAGTTTTTATTGTTGCTTCACCAAACATGGTAGAGGTCTGTAATCCCAGGAGACTGAGGCAGGAGTGTTATTTAAGGTACCTGGTAGTCACATCATGGCAAAATTCAGGAAGCAGAGAACAGGATAGAAGCAAGGTAGGCTACGGCCCTCAAGGCGCAACTTCAATGTCCCTTCTCTGTCAGCCATGCCGTTAGAAAATAATTTCAGTGTTCCACAAAGAACATACATAGTGAAAACAATTCAACAAAGCACTCTCTTTGTAAAAACAGGACAAGCTGGCCTGTTCTTTATCCCAGGCTCAGGTGGTGGCTGGCTCAACTTTACAATCTGATCGGCTAGTTGGCACAAGGGGGAATAGGACGCCCAAAGAATAAGGTCCTTGTCAGGATAACCAGCTTAGACAAGGGAAAAAAAAAAAGGTGACCTCCCACAGAGCACCTGTACCACTAGGGGACCAGCTACTCACACACAGCCTTTGAGGGCATTATGGATTCAAACCATAACCACTGGTTTTCCTGAAATAATTTAGAATATATGTATTTTTTTACTCCTTCATAAACTTAGAACACTAGCCTAACTGTATCTGCCCAATATTGATGCTTTTTTCCCCATTATTCCCCTGTATGACAGCCATGCCACAGCACAGGGTGCCAATGCTCTCCTTCACTGAAGGCTCTAAAGATTGGGCTCAGGCCTTGATTCAGGAGTTGGCTTCACACCAGAAACTTTTTTTTGACAAGTGGAATAAGATTTTCTTAGTGGCATGTGAGTGCAGGTTACTTAGCACATCTAAAGAAGAAAAGAAGAAAATGGATCTTTTCTAAACATTGCTTAACAGCTTTAACATACATCCTAGAAAATCCTAAGTTCTAACCATAAGAATCACATAGCTCAAGATGAAAATTCAGCAAACAAAACACAACATTTTAGAACCGTAACCCAGACATTCCTGATGCAGGCTATGTACCATTCTCTCCTACAAGGCTATAATGCACATTATTGTGGTTTTTTGAGACAGGGTTTCTCTGTGTAGTCTTGGCTGTCCCAGAACTCATTCTGTAGACCAGGCTGGCCTTAAACTCAGAGATCCACCTGCGACTGCCTCTCAGTGCTGAGGTCCAATGTGCTACTACTGCCCAGCAGTTATTTATTTAATGTGCCCTTGTGTTTTGCCTACATGTATGTCTGTGTGAAGGTGTTGGGTTCACTGAAACTGGAGGTACAGGCAGTTGTGAGCTGCCATGTGGGTGCTGGGAATTAAACTCAGATCCTCTGTCAGAGTAGTCAGTGCTCTTATCCACTGAGCCATCTCTCCAGCTCCAACACGATGTTTTTCTTTTTCTTTTTTTTTTTTTTAAGATTTTATTTATTATGTATACAGTCTTCTGCCTGCATGCCAGCAGAGGGCACCAGATCTCATTAGAGGTGGTTGTGAGGCACCATGTGGTTGCTGGGAATTGAACTCAGGACCTGTGGAAGAGCAGTCAGTGTTCTTAACCGCTGAGCCATCTCTCCACCCCCGACACGATGATTTTTTTTAAATGTCATTCTGAACCAACACAAAAAGCAAGGAACTAATTATAGGTCCAAATGTTAGGGTCCAACATAAAAGGTTCAAAAACAGCACTGATGGATTTTAAGGTTTGAGGAAGTATGTGGAATGCCTTAATTTGTTAGTGCATGTATGAATTGCTCAAGTCATCTAGAGGATTTTCATTATATTGTTTTCCCTAAGTTCATATATACTGCTCTTTAGTCAACTTATCATTTTCAAAACAAAAGTTGAGCTCAGGTCATCATCGGTCTCATACAGGAAGGTCTTTACCCACTGAGAATCTCACCCAATGTTTTTGGTTTGTTTTTGTTGGGGTGGGGATAACATATGCCTAGGTGCTTTCACAGTTGATTCTGACTTGCATCTTACAGGGTCTCTCCTCTTTCTGGTACATTCCCTTAGGAATGTACATTCTGTGCATTCCCTTAGGAGATTCCAGGAAAATTCTGTCAATACCTCCCATCTTTCAGTGAGTGCTGGGATTAAAGGTGCATTTTTGTCTGGATTTTAAAAAGGGCTCCAAAGATTAAATCTGGCTTGTACAGCTATTGCTTTACCGGTTGAAGCACCTCCCCAGTTTTCATTTCTTAGGACAGGGTCTCCCTCTGAAGCTCACGCCAGCAGGAACTCTTTCTGTAACTCAGATTTAGCATCTTGCCTCAGCCTCTCCAGTGCCACCTTTTTTTTGAGACAGAGTGGTCTCAAACTCAAGAGATCCACTTGCCTCTGCCTCCTGAGTGCTGTGAACTAAAGGTATATGCCACCACACCCAACAATCATTCCTTAATTCTGCTCAGAATTTGGTAATCACAAAGATACTTCAGCCCTACCAACCCACTCCTGCACCCAAGCTCTCACCTGGGAGGGTGACATTGTAATTAGTCTGTCCATTCCTCTAACTTAGTTAACAGCAGTCCTATCTCCATTCACAACTTCACCAAGAGCCAGCACCCCAAGAGCCATTCTTCCAGACTTCCTGTCACCAAAAGCACACCGACACAATAGGTTTTCTATTGCTGTGATAAAACAAAACACAATGACCAAAAGCAACTTGGGGGAGGTTTATTTCATACTACCTCAAGCCTCAGCCACCAAGTGGCTCTCAGATGGCCATGTGACCCAAGGCACATCCTGTGGACCCTGGAAGGACTCTGGGTTTTGTAGGACTCTGGAGACATGCCTGACTGGATCAGATTCTCTCAAGAATTCCTTTGGGCTCTCTTCTGCTGCCAGGGACTTGGAACACAGAAGCAGTAGTCAAGGCCTTTTGTTCTCATGGCCACTGGAAATACAAGTGGGCAGAAAGAGGTCAGTGGGGTACCTCACCCCAACCTCTACTCCCGACTCTGGGGCCTTCAGAAACATGAAAACACACACAGACACACACACGCACAGACACACACACACACACCCACACACACCCACACACACAGACACACACCGACACACAGACACACACAGACACACACACACAGACACACGCACAGACACACACACACACACCCACACACACCCACACACACAGACACACACCGACACACAGACACACACAGACACACACACACAGACACACGCACAGACACACACACACACACCCACACACACCCACACACACAGACACACACCGACACACAGACACACACAGACACACACACACAGACACACGCACAGACACACACACACACACCCACACACACCCACACACACAGACACACACCGACACACAGACACACACAGACACACACACACAGACACACGCACAGACACACACACACACGCACAGACACACCCCTACCTCACAAGAAAACTTGGGCACAGATCCCCTCCCTCCCTCCCAGGGACTGGAGGACACTGCCCAACTTAAGGATGATGCCAAAACATCCTCTTGGCACACACTATGGCTCTGTGGTGCAAGAACGTGCCGATCTCACATAGGAGACCCAGTCTGTCACCGAGGTGCCCGGGCAGAAATGTGGCAGGTACAAGCTGCTCAGGAGAGGCCCGCACGCTCCAGGTCCTGCTGGAGCCCCAGGCCCTTCTTGCGGGCCTTCTGCAGCCGCCTCTCAGCCCGGGCCGCCTTCTTCTTGCGCAGGTTCTGGCGCCGCTTGTCCTGGCGCTGCTGCATCTTCTCCACCACATGCTCCGAGCGCTTCTCCCACCGGCGCTGCCGCTGTGCCTTTCGCTTCTCCTTGCGCTTCAGGGCTTCCTGCAGCAGGCGCTCGTTGTCACGGATCTTCACACCCTCCGCCTTGTACAGCAAGTTGGTCCACTTCATCTTCGCCTCCAGCTCCTGGGCCTTGCCCTGATCTCGAAGCTCCTCCAGCCGGTCCTGCCGCGCCTGTAGACGCTCCAGCAACTGCCTGTAATTCCTGCCTGTCAGGGGTGTCAGGTTCCCTTTCACCTTCTGCCGCTTCTCCTTCCTACGCTGGGCCTTGCTGGCCGGCTCCTCTTCAGTCACTTCCACCTGCAGGTAAGAGGTCCGTCAATGAGGTGACACACATATCTCACCAGTGACACAGACCAATGACATGGCTTTTGTTCCCTGAGATGGGGATCGCCAACATGCACCTACACCATCAGCAAGGTGCAAAGTTAGACACAGGCGCTCAGCCCAGGCAGCCTCTACCTTATTAAACATCAGTCCTGATGCCTGCGGCTCCTTGCAGGGCACTTCTGGAGGTGCCTCAGCTGGCTCCTCTTTTTTCTCAGTCTTTGCAGCCTTCTCCTTTGCTCGAAGCTCCTTCCGCTTCCTCTTCTTCCGTTCCCTCTCCTGCTTCCTCCGCTGTCTTTTCTCTAGCGTGGCAGCAGACAGCTCCTTGGTGCTGCCCTGAGAGGAAAAGATAAAAGGGAAAAGATGGAGCTTCATTCATCAGGGCCCTTTCAACCTCAAAGTCCTCGGTCTGGTACATGGCTGAGATTAGAGGAAACCCTCATGCAGGCCACAAGTCCATAATGGCCACAAACCACCAGTATATGACCTGTTACCCTGATGCAAATAATACTGGTATGGTAAGGACCCTCTAGTAAGAATCACTGCTCCAGTTCCCAGGCTCCCCCAGCATACCAGAGCACTTCATCTCGCACATAGTCACCCACTGTCCTAGAATTCAGAACTTAGGTTGGGTTCCTATGATGGAGTGCCTGATAGGAGTGCCTGTCCTAACCACTCTGTTCATGACAGACACAGATTGAGTATTCTCTGTAACCGTTCTTTTGCCATAGCCAGAGAGCACCATGTATCCAACCAACCCAGGCCTATGCTGCAGGACAGAAGGCCTTGAGTCTTGATCCCCTCTTAGGAACTTGGAGATGGTGATTGGCATATATTGGAAGGGTAAGAAGCTCAAGAAAAGCGCATCAGAAAGTGTGTGTGTGTGTGGGGGGGGCATGGTCACTGACAATTCAGGCTATACTCTACCCATGTGGCATCAGTGGAGGCAGCTCCCCAAAGGAAGCAGCCATGCTTCTCTGAGGGACACCAAACATCTAAGAGGCACATGCCTCTGGGGACTGATGTACTTCAAGAAAAGGAACTACACCTACTACCTCAGCCAAGAGGTACCTTGTTGTGAAATATTAGTTAAATATGTGTTAAGTTTGTTCATGTCATAAAATATTTGTTTAATGATACAAAGATGTGTTACATTCTTTTATGCTGCATTTGTTTAACTCTGTAAAGCTGTGTTACTTTGCCTGTCTAAAACAAAGAGTTGAACAGCCAATAGCTAGGCAGGAGAGAGAACTATTCGGGGCTGGTAGGCAGAGAATATAAACAGGAGGAGAAGTGAGTAGGGGAGCAGGAAAAGGAGAAGAGAACGCCAGGGGTCAGCCACCCAGCCACACACGGAGTAAGAAGGAAACAGGCAAATAGAATAGAGAAAGGTAAAAGCCCAGAGGCAAAGGTAGAAACAAACCAAGTTAAGGCCAGACATTCATAAGTAAGAATATGTCTCTGAGTATTTATTAGGGAGCTGGGCAGTGAGTCCCCAAGAGAAAGAGTTCAAAACAAAACAAACACCTACAGCGCCCCAAATCTCACATCAGCACAAAAATGGGGAGGGAAAACTCTACAAGCCTACTCCAGGTGCTCAGGAACACTACTCCCCATTTACCTGGCCCCGGGCCAGTTGGATCTTCTCATGAAGCCGCTGTCGCAGGAAATCCAGTGCAAAGACAGAATCAGGTGCTGTGACTTGGCTATCTGCAGGGAAGGAGACTAGGATGAAAGGGGACTTCCCACCACCATCTCTCACCCTTCCTCCCCCAGTGCTGCGCATGGATTCTCAGGCCACCCAACTCCTTTAAGACAGGTAACTAACAACTGTATCATGAGGCTGGTCATTATGACATTAGAAAAACAGTGTTTGTTGTCACCTTGTCACCTGGCTGTCACGTGGCACAGGACCATCATGAGCTTTTATGCCCTGTCTGCCATTCTGCTCCTATGATCTTCCTTCACAGAAAAGTCTTGTAGCATTACCCTAACCCTGTTGGCACTTTTGAGCAGTGGGGACATTTGCCTCTGGGCCCCATCCCCGCCCTCATCATGCATGTTTTGGAGCCCCTCACCTTCAGGGGACTCCAGGGAGCTGGAGTTCTTCTCTTGTTTAGATTCCATTGGTTTCTTGGCCCTAGAAGAGGGAGGAGCCGTCTTCACTAGGGGCTTAGTCTTGTGCTCTGTAGCTTTCTGTTCCTGAGATTTCTTTTGTGCTTTCTTCCTCTTCTTTTTGGGGAGCTCGGCAGCTTCCAAGCGTTTTGTTTTGACAGCTGAAATGCAAAACAAGATGAATACCTTCTCTCTACCAATTCAGCAAAGATCCTGCAAAGGCACTGATCCCAGTGATGCAAAGGACCAGGTGGCTAAGCCAGTGCCACCTGTCCAGAGCTTAGTGACACCAACCACCTGGGCAGCAGATGGTCACACATCTGTAATCCCAGCATTTGGAGGCTAAGTCTAGGCTAGATAAAAGACCCTGTCTCAAAAAACAAAATAAACTAACAATGTTTTCTTTTTAATGCAAATTACACACACACACACACACACACACACACACACACACACACAGACTTGACCCAGAGGACATGCACATAAGGAATAGAACACAAAGTCTGGTTTCAGGTTGGTCATCACATTATCTAAATATAAACACCCACTTCCAGGAACAAATGATGGTGCTGCTACACTTTCTCTTCACTGCCCCAGATTGAACACTGGGCTCCTGTATAGCAATTTCCTCCCAGATAAAATCTTCCATCTTGGAGGAAAGCTCCTTAAGCTCAGGAACTAAACACCAAGGCTTCAGGAAGTCCTGGAACTGACCAGATTCACTAGCCCCTTCTTCCCCAAGCACATACAAGAGGAAGGCCAAGTGATGCTTAGTCAAGCAGGACCACATGGAATAAACACTCTCCAACCTGCTGAGCTGCCTGCAAGTTGTGCAGTACACTCCAGGTTTCTAGTTTTTGAAAGCCATCACCAGTGCTTTCACCACAAGCCCATCACCACAAGCCCATCACCACAAGCTGGGGTGGGCTTTGGTGATACAGCTATTTCTTTTGGGGGGGGGGTTGAGGCAAGGTTTCTCTGTGGCTTTGGAGGCTGTCCTGGAACCTGCTCTTGTAGACCAGGCTGGTCTCAACCTCCCAGAGATCCACCTGCCTCTGCCTCCCGAGTGCTGGGATTAAAGGCGTGGGCCACCACCGCCCGGCACAGCTAATTTTTAATCATGTCTGCTCTTGTATGTCGCCTTAATAAAGCTCACTGGTTAATCACACTGGACTTCAGTAGTATCCATACTTTGGCCTGTCATTCCTGTGTCTGCAAAGACTGAACAGCAGTGATGTGGAGAGGCTGGAATGTTGCAGGTCCAGAGGATCATTATCTTAGGTTAGCTTAAACCCAAGAATAATCCTTTCCTTGGCCACCTTTGTATCTGTGACTAATAGATAAAAACCTTTTATAATCTATCAATTTAGCAGATCAACTTAAAAGTTAAGAATGTCATCAGCACTGGGCGTGGTGGCACATGCCTTTAATCCCAGCAATCTGGAGATGGAGATAGAGGAAGGCAGATCTCTGAGTTGAAGACAGCTTGGTCCTCAACAGAGTGAGTTTCGGGACATCCAAAGCTACACAGAGAACCCCTGTCTCAAAATACAAAAATGGGGTGGAGAGATGGCTCTGAGATTAAGAGCACTGGCTGCTCTTCCAGGGGACCTGAGGGAGTTCAATTCCCAGCAACCACGTGATGGCTCATAGCCATCTATAATGAGATCTGGTGCCCTCTTCTGGCCTGCAGGCAACATGCAGGCAGAACGCTGTATACACATAAATCTTGAAAAAGAAAATGTCATCAGCATCTGGGCCTAGAAAAGCTTCTCTCATCTTGCTATAACCACCTGATGTGCACATCAATGTATTCTAAACTTGCCTTGGCTTTCTTTGTTCTGTAAAACTTCAATAAACTGCTTCAAGAACATTTTGTGTTGGAAAATGGAATTAGGGGGGTAACCTAAATCTCTGTTCCCAGGCCACAGTCGTTCAAAACGGGCTCCAGAATAAACTATTCTATTTATGGTGAAGGCTGTAGGTTTCCGGAATTCACAGTGATCTGCCTTGCTTCTGTTTGCCAAGCGATGGTATTAAAGGCATGTGGTACACAGTTGCCACTACCCACCCCATCCTACCTCAAAAGGCTCATTTATTCTTTTTTTAAAATTATTATTTAGTCTTATTTTAAGAGTGTTTTTAAGTATGCATGCCTGTGCATCGTAACCGTGCCTGGTGCCATTGGAGGCCAGAAGCGGATTACGATCCCCTGGAACTGGAGTTAGGGACTTAGGGACTGTTTGTAGTATGCGGCCACGTAGGTGCTGGGAACCGAATGTGGGTCCTATTCAAGAGTAACAGTGCTCTTAACTGCTTAGCCATCTCTCCAGCCCCTCTTTTTACTTTCTGAGAGGGTTTCCTGAAGTTGCCCACGCAGAGGTTAACTTACCATGTGGCCCCTGTCAGGCCTACTACCGGCCTTTACCCTCGAGGTTCTTTCTCAGCCTCCCCACCAACCAGGCCCAAGCAGCAATGAACTCTTGATGATGAAAGATGTATTCCCACTTCCAACGATGCGAGCACGGTTTTCTTTCCGTATGAGTCTGGCAATTCCCTAACTACCTTCCCCTCCATCGGGGCCCAGCGCCCTCAGGACCCGTAGCTATCCCGGCTAGTACCCGCTCACTCCTGTATCACGCGTGGAGGGTTCGGACCCGACCGACCAAGGAAGGACAGCGGGCCCGTGCGACGGCATCCACTCCCAAAGGCCGCTCGGGTAGGCTGCCTTACCCCACTCGCTCCTCTGCCGCTCGGGGCCAGGCTGTGCGCAGATCTTCTTGGCCAAGTCCTGCAGATAGGCATCCTTGGCTTGCAAAGAAGCCATGGCTGGAGCCCAGTGCTCAACACTCGGAGGTTCCCGCAGCCCTGCGGCCCGCCGGAAGCACCATGTACGCAGGCGCCGATAGCCAAGCGCTCGATTGCCGAGCCTGACTACGCCGGAAGTACCGCATGCGCAGGTGCCGTCTAGCTAGCTAGCTAGCTAGCCAGTGTACAGTGCCGCGACCCACGCGGAGCTCGATTAGCCAGGCCTGAGGGGTTGGCTACTCCTTAACGTGGAGGCGTGACTCTGAAAGATGCCACCTGTAGTCCAAGAACTGGCCTGGAGGGGATGAGATAGATGCCCAGCGCCCCACAGCCACTCCGCCACACGGAGCAAAACACAGATATAAAAAGACGTGTGGTGGGTGGGAGGGAGGAGCAACCGGAGACATGAGTATGGCGTGGATCCTAGACTACATGCATTAGCCATTGCATATCAGTTTTGATGGTACTGGGCATTGAGGCATGAAAAACGCCTTGCAGATGGCGTTGAAAGCGGCATATATTTGAGGAAATGGAAGAAAAAGCGAATCCCTAGTAGAGTCTGCATGGGCCTTAATACATGCTACATCGAAAAGCGTGGGTCAGTTAAAGCTAGTGAAAAAAGGTGACACAGAATTTACATCAGTCATTGGTGACACGGAGTTTCTAGAGAACTGAATCCCCGAGGAGCTCTGCCCCAGCCACACAAGCCGGAGAAAGGTAGTGGTACCCTTTAAATGAGAAGCTTCTCTTTTAAATGTGAACGACAGAATAAAGCGCAAGAATCTGTCCTTCGTTAAGTTTTTGGAAAACCATTCTAAACCCTTGCTTCTAGTGTTTTCCCCAACTCCTCAACCCTAAGCTTTCTCTGTGACACAAGCTCTTCCAGCAGTCAACATACTACAGACATCACCCTGATGGAAAACTCCCTCACTGGGGCAGTGACTTCCACCTAGCTACCCACTTGTGTGTTACCTTGTTTGGCTATGCAGGTGCTGGGCCACCTGATGACCAGACCACGTTCCTCACAAACCGGGAATGACTACTTTCATGGAGCATGGTGATGGTAGGTAGAGGAGAGACTGAAGGCACACACTTGCCCCAGTACCATGGTTTCTGTATGTCAGTAATGAGCCTGGTACTGAGAAGCAATGGGGTCTGAGTTCCTAGTCCTTTCTGCCACTTAATTTCTCAGCCTGTGGTTCTAGGCATGACACACCCTTCCAAGCCCATGCCCACTCCAAGATGTAGACATGATAGTGCTAAGTTGGGGTGGATAGGTGGCACCAAAGATACAAGTGCTGTAGTCATATAACTTGTAGTAATGGCAGATTTTCATTCATTTACCAAATGTCAGGGAACTACTAGATGCTATTATTATACGAGGAGGAGGGGCTGTTGTTCGAGGAACCCAAGGGCAATCTTGAACTGATGAGGAAACAAAGATGAACAACAAAAAAAGGTAATGCTTTATTCGACAGTTTCATCACAAAAGTAGTAGACGGGAAATGGTGGCACAATCCAGGAAGATGCCCTGGCTAGCTGCCTCTCACAGTCTTGCTATGACTGTCAGCTGTGGCACAGACAATTGTGGTCCAGGCACCAGGCAGTGGTCAGGGCTCTCTACACAGGAGCCCGAGCCAAGGATGGGTGGCTGGATTTGGCTACGGTCCACTGAGTACCTTCCAATTCTAAACAACAAACCGAGGCTGTCTTCCTATCACCAGCCACCCTCCCTTCTCAAGGTCCTCAATGGGACAAGCTTCCATGTGGCAGTCAGGAAGGTAGCCACTAGAGTTGAAGGGCCACCTGCATGTAAATAACTGAACAGCATTCCCCAATTATCACAGGTAACTGGCCCTGGCCTGGCTACAGGGACTCCTGATCACAAAGTCCCCAAGTGGGAGCTAAGACTGAAAAAGCTAGGCTCTGGTGGACATCCACAGGACTTCCTTTGTGATAAACTAGGGCACTGGGAGAGGGTACCCCAAGAAGCTCAGGTATGTTCTATGGGACCAGGGCCACCACCATGGGAGTGGGCAGAGGCTGCAGATTGCAGGGGACCAGCACCAGTCTCCGGGGACGCCAGAAGAGGGGCTGAGAGGCCATCAGCAGAATCTGTGTCGAGGTCCAGCCTCCAGTAAGCTTCACATAGAGGCAGGTCATTAGCTTCGCAGAGACTTGAGCTTTGCCACAAGAAACCCCCAGGAGTGACAGGAGCAGGCAGAGGAAAGCCAGGGTGGGGAAAGCAAGACAGATGCAAGAGTTAAGAAATGAACATCACCTGACTGCCTCCCCTTCCTCTCCTCTTGGCTGACCCCTCTGCTACCAGTTCTGGCCACACTTGCATCCAAAGAAAGATGCCATCAACAGGCCATGTGACTTAGGCAAGTTCTCCCCATGGGCCGCATGGCCTTCCTGACACTTAGAACTCCCCTTGTCCTTGTGGGTCTTCTTCCATCCTGCCCACCCACCCCTTACTAGCAGGGTAGTGATAACACTTTACAAAGAGCTCATGGTGGCAGAAACCTGTGTCTGTCCCTATCAGACACTTGCCTAACTATAAAAAGTCAGGAGCAGAGAGGTCCAAGCATTTCGCTACACGCCACTGCTCCAGCCCTATAGCTTCAAGCTCCAAGTTTCATGCACTCCAGTTCCCCATGTTATACAGGGAAGAGGTGAGAGAGAACAGGCAAGGATTAATCCTCAATGGTCATGGAAGTGGTTACCTGGAGCAAATCTGTTTCCACAGCTGTCTATTATGCTCTGGCCCTATACCTGCCCCAGCAGTTCCTCTCAGAACTATTCAAGAGTAGCACCCCCAGGAGAGTGGAGGGGAGGCAAAGCCAGAATTAGCAAGCAGTGAGTATATAGGCAGGAATAGCTGTGCAGAGGGGAAGCTGGCAGCTGGCGGTGATGTGGGCATGAGGTTGATAGGGGCAGATGAAACCCACAGGCCCCTGCACTGAAGAGCCCTGCCATTTAAGATAATTCATAGCTAGAGGGGCACTGCTTTACCATGAGAAATATGGAAAAGGTGACTGCCCCAAGGGGACACAAGTTGTCCCAGAAACCCATGCAGGTGATGTACAGGGACTTACTGAGGCTTTGGAAACCTGGCACTCTGGGTTCCCGTCTTCCCAAAACTGATCCACCCAGGGGGCCCTTAAAGCAGTAACTGTCTAAAGGGTAATGACAGGAAGATGTGAAGGAATTCATCCTGGGTGAGTGTGTAAACCTGTCTTTTGGGGGTAGAGGAAATGGTCCCATTTGTTTGCTAAGTTGATGAATAATGGGACCAAGGACAACCCCAGAACTCTCTGGAAAACTTTAGAACTGGGCAGTGACATTGAGTCTATGATGGGACAACTAAGTCCTCGATCACATACCACCTGGCTCTGGACATCTGTGGCTCCTTCTGCAGCTTTTGTGCAACAGAAGCAAATCTACCACCAGGGGAAAACGGCTTTGCTTGGGAAAGGGAGCTGCAGGACAGAACCTTAATTTCAAGCTAAGAGGATGTGAGCAAGGTCTCCATTCTCCAGGCTCAGTTTCCCACATATTTCACATTGTATTCTTGATTTCTCAAGGCCTCTCTGGCTCGGAAAGTATTAAGTTTTAAGTGACCCTATAGCAGGGCGAGGTGACAGATGCTATCTGCTGCTAAACTCTGGGGCTAGCATAGGTCTGACACCAGGAGGCTGAACTGCCCCAAAACAGGACATACAAGTATCCAGGCCCAGTTCCTAAAGCCACTCTGCTTGAGCTCCTTCCTCCTCCTTTCCCAGTGTTCCCTGCCTCTACACTGTGGGATCTGATGATACACACATGGAACTGAGTCTCTGAGCAAGCAGTAGTAGTGGTGTCCTGGAGAGTGGACATAGTTATAGACCCAGAAGGCCACAAGGGACCAATCCAGCCTTGACTGAAATGTCTAGACAGATGTGGAGCAGTGAGGCAGAGTTTGCACTGCCCAGGAGGGCGTCCTTGCCCCCTGGGGAATGCCCTTCTCTGCTCTCAGCTGCTGACACCAAGTCCTGGGATTTTCACCCCACTTCATTGAGGGGTGGCCTGGGCACCAGCTGGGGGCTGGTTGTGAGTGTCCATCAACGCTCTAGTCAGGGGCTCTGCTGCCAAGGAGAACTTGGAAAAACACAAGGCCCTTGCAGGCCCTAGCTGGCTTGGGCAGGCAGCAGGTCCCGCCTGCATGCGAGTCCAGCCCTATTTGTACCTGGACGAGTAGTACTCCTCCTCCAGCTCATAGAGGTCAATGGAGACCTCATCCCGAAGGGTGATGAGCTTGCGGTCACACTCTTCCTGCAGGGCACGCAGCTGCTGGTTACGCTGGTCGATAGCCTCATTCACAGATGGGAAGTCATTGAGGATCAGGAACTGCTTGAGATCAGATACCAGCTTCATCAGTGACTCACCAGCTCGGACCTGCCAACATCATAATCAGGGTAAATATGAGAGGAGGCGAAGACGGTGGCCCTGCTCTTCGTGACTGGTGGTAGGTCAACAGTGGGTTTTCTGGAGATCTCAACTCCATGATCCACAAAGGAAAGTACCAGCCTACATGGAGTCATCTGTGAGGGTAGAGGAGGAGCTGAGAAGACATCAGAATCCGACTACAGGTGGAATACATTTGCTCACTTCAAGGAGCTTTCCCTCCCCGACCAACCACTCAGACCATGAACACATCCTGTACACTCATCTCAAAGCCAACTTAAGTCTATGCCCTGGGTTTCCTCCTGACTCATTCTTTCCCAGAGATGGCACAACTGCAAGTTGGAAAGGATTCACAGGGGTCTTTGCCCCACACATTGTCATCTGCTGGTAGGCACTGCACAGATACTGGTCTACTGGGCTTTCCCTGTAACATCTAGAGGAGCTCACCTTTCACATGGGATTCACTCAGCCATTTGCCTTTCCATTCACAACCAGCCTTGGGGAACTTTCATGTCAGCAAGAATGGCTGCCTTCCTCCTGACTACTATACAAGATGGACAAGGCCATCTGTTTGACCCCTGCCCCCACCCCATGCCCACCGGGGGCAATCTCCGAAAAATGCGCTCTGCCCCACCCCACTGTTCCCATTTGCCCTTGCTGCTCTGAATTTCATCCGTGACCCCTTCAGGGTTGTTTTCCCCCCTGGCCACTCACGATGTTGGCAGCTCGAACGTGCATCTCGTAATTGTCCTGTTCACCCTGAGTAGCCCGTGACACCTGTGTCTCATCCTCAATCTGGGGACAAATAAGAAAGCCTAGAATCAACACAGGCAACCACCTGGCTTAGCCTGGCTCACAGGAACCCAACAGGTGACCAGCCACCACCACCCTGAGTGCCATCACCACAGTCTATCTATCAGGCCTTCCTGCACACCCAGCACCCTGCTTCCTATCTAGACAGCTGGCAATGTCTCCTCCAACCCCCTCTTGTTCTGTGGATGACAACAGGTGACTTCATCACATCAAAAGGACACTGCCAAGTCTTTCTGAAAAAGTTTACACGAAATAAGATGTTCAATAAAGGAGTAAAAGGACAGGACTTTTTGATCTTTGTTTTTAAGGCAGGATCACATCAAAAGGACACTGCCAAGTCTTTCTGAAAAAGTTTACACGAAAGAAGATGTTCAATAAAGGAGTAAAAGGACAGGATTTTTTGATCTTTGTTTTTAAGGCAGAGTCTCATGTAACCCAGGCTGGCCTGAACTTCTAATCCTCCTGCCTCCACTTCTGAAGTTCTGACATTAAAGAACTGTGTCAAGATCTAGTTTATAAATAAAATGTGAAGATTGTCTTCAATATTTTTATTATTTGAGATTTTTGAACATTGCATTTTGATTATATTCACCCTTCCCATGTCCTCTCAAGTCTACCTCCCCTACTCTATATTGACAAACAAAAAAAACCCCTCTTAAAAAAAAAAAAAAAAAAAAAAAAAAAAACACTATTTTATTCAGTTCTAGGGACTGAACATAGGGCTTTGCAGTTGCTAGGCAAGCACTTTACAATCCCAACAACATCCCCAGCCAGAAAGTGACTTTTCAAGTGACCCCTTCTGGGCAGGTACCAGCCAACTAAGCAGGAAGGGCTTCCTCACAAAAGCCTAAACTACTGTTCTCAACTTACAGATGGACTAGCTGGAGACCGACACAGACCTCAGCGGTCTTAAGGCATCTCAAAAATAAAGAGAGCAGCAGTTCTCAACGTTGCGATTCATAACAGTTGCATATGAAGTAGCAACTAAAACAGTTTTATGGTTGAGGGTCACAACAGGAGGAACTGTATTAAAGGACTAAACTCACCTGTCATCACCAGTATCTACTGCATGGAGGAAACTCAGCCCAGGTAGTCTAGTGCCTTGGCCAATTCGGCCAGAGTTCTCTACGCTGCTCTATCTGCACGTGTCATCATTTGGCTTTTCTATTTACCTGCTGATCTCTACTTTTGACGCCTCGGCGCTCCCACCCGCACCGGACAGACATTCCCTTGGCATCCCCACCTCTGCAGCAGAATCTAGACACCCATGTACCCAGACCCCGGGGAAAGCAGGCTCCTGCCTTCTCCCGTGGCTTCGGAACAGCGACCACGCACCTTGGCGGTCTTGATGATCTCAGTGAAGTTGTCCATGATGGACTTGATGTCGTCTTTGAGTCGCTTGTTGTAAGACTGCAGTAGTGTCTCCTTGCTCTGGGGCAGGGCTCTCTGCTGGGCCATGGCAGGACCAGGGTGACAGCCACAGTCTCGTCTGCCGCGGTCTCTTACATATTACCCACAATTCCTTTTTCTCCCTCTCTCTCTTTTGCAGCCGAGCAAGATGGTGAGTGATCGCAGCCCCCTCTCGCCATCCGCCTCCATCCGCCGCCCGCCGCCGTCTCGCGGGGTCTGCGGTCGCCCCTGGCGCTTCGGGCCGCTTTGCTGAAAGGGAGCGGGGGAGAGCGGGGCGGAG